CTTGAACCAGCACTTTACACTTGGATGGTGCAAAGCACGTACCATACCTGGATACCTCTATCGCCAAGTGGTGTAAAGCTTGTTGGACTGCCTGTGCATTGTCACCCAACAAGGCGATGTCCTCGGCATATGGCGAAGTCAAGAACTCTGTTCCCTCGGAGGAGTTCGACTCCGCCATCTGCTAGATCGGACAAAGCGTTCTGCAGAACATCCTCAACGGCGAAGTTGAAAAGGATAGGGGATATAAGGCAGCTTTATCGAATTCCACTGGAGATGGCGAAGGGTGGTGAAATCTGGCCATAAGCTCTAACCTGACCTGAGGTATCACGATACAACTCTTAGAGGTTCGACACATACTTCTCTGGTACTCCATTCATCAACAAACACCTCCATAGTTCTGTCCTATCAACAGAATCGAAGGCCGCGCGAATGTCTAAAAACACAATGATCGTTGGTCTGCGGTAAGCATGATGAGCTCAAGCAACTGTTGAAGGGTGAAGATTTGATCGATGCAGCCACTACCGGCACGAAACCCAACCTGCTCCTCGCGCGTTTTGTATAATCTACGAAGAATGACGGACGCTAACAGCTTTGACGCTATTGGGATCAGGCTTATACCCCTATTATTGGCGCAATCATTGCGCGGACCCTTTTTGAAGATTGGGACAACAATCGACTCCCTCCACGAGGAAGGGACCTGCTCAGTGTTCCAAACTTTAGAGAACAGGACGTAGAGTTCTCTAACAAGCTTTATTCCACCATCTTCAAATAGAGTTGGGGGAAGGCCATCGTAGCCCGGCGCTTTGTGACTTCCCAAGGCTAGGATTTCCTTACGGATTTCGGCCTCAGAGGATGGGTCTGTTGAAACAAACCATGGGACGTGTGCCGGAATAGTTGTTTGAGAAGCTGGCGTGGGTGGCCAGCTAAATTGTGCTTTGAAGTGCTCCGTCCAGCGTTCAAGACGTCGCTGTTGATTGTGAATAAGCGAGCCATCAGCTTCATAGATCGTTTCGCTCACACACCGGTGGCTCGGATGAGACGGAACAGCTTACGGGAATTTCCCATGGTGGCAGCCCGTTCCATCTCTGTTGCGCGTTGAGACCACCAGATCTCGCGGTCTCTGCGTAGGCTTACGTTAAGTTCACGTCTCATTACAAGCCGTGTTACGTTATGCTCGCTGTCGGTCGGAAATGATCGACGTGCGTCAAGAAGGCGCAGAGACTCAGCAGAAATCCAGGGTGTCACGACACGGCGTGTCAGATCAAAATTAAATAAGCCAGCAGAATGCATAGCATTCTTGGTAAGCGTCCAGTGCTCACTGACGTTATCAGGTGGGGCTGATTCTAACTTTTCAGCTAGCGCATTTTGAAAGACGGCTAAGCATGCTGGTTGAGACAACTTATCGCAGCCTAACCGCCGTTGTGCCGTACATTTAGGACACCCACCGAAGCAAATAGACAGCTTAGTGCAAACTAACGCGTGATCGGATTCGAAAGTAGTGCTCCAGTACGATCGGCAGTCTTGAATGCAACCCCACCATTAGAACAGGTGTCTCCCGTCTTCCAGGCTGGGGCTCGAAAACTCTGCCCTTGGTAGGTTGGAGACACTGAAGGATATGCCAGCGAACGATCAGCAGTAGCGTTCTTGTTGTCATTTCTTATCGACTCGGAATGCTTGAAACGGTATGTACGCATACTTAGGTTGACCATAGAGGTTCACTTTCTCTGCCTCCCTCCAGTTAGGCCTAATCCTTCTCCATCTTGTACTCTGTCGCCTAATTTGTGTACATTGTGAGCTTGGCAGCGATCAGTGAAGTTCGCTTCACTGTATCTCGCTGTTCGATGATGACGGTGATGATTGTCACATATTACACCTATCTTCTTTCGCACTGAACTCTTAAAAGACACGATCCAATGTTATGGACGTCACCATTACACTACAGAAAACATGCGCTGGAAAACGTTTGGTGTATGCTTTTCTATTTTAAATAGAACACAGAGCAGCGCACATACTCGTTTTCGGTGATTCGTGGTTATGCCAATACGTCATGGTCAATATCGTAACATAATGGTAATATATAATCATTAATAAACCATAAAAATTGTCTCGGAAAGAGGGAAATCAACACCACAAATTGTTTGGGGGCTAATTGCGGTTTAGGACTGGATGTGGAATTCTCGGTGATGACCGTTGTTTGTTTTCTATTTTGTTGAGCAACTATTGAAAATATGCAATTATAGAACCAAATTGCAATACTGCACGATTTATGTCCAGGACGATTTCGCTGCATCTCAACATGGTGCATACTGCAGAAAATGCAACACTTATGTAGGGATTTCGCATGGCAACAAAGATGAGTAAAATACAATGAAACAGAAAAAAACCCAAAAGGGGGAGGGGTAAAAAAGACTATCACCAGGGTAAGGATAAACTAACATAAAGTTCTTTTTGTTGACACAAGGGGGGCTTCCATCGACTGATAGCAATCGCTTCTGCAAACGTAGCAATCTTGCGGTTCGTTATTATTATTTATCTACTATTATTATCTTACTTACTTACTTATCTTACTTATTATTATCTACTATTATTTATCTACAAGTCACGAACCGCAAGATTGCTACGGTTTGCAGAAGCGATTGCTATCAGTCGATGGAAGCCCCCCTTGTGTCAACAAAAAGAACTTTATGTTAGTTTATCCTTACCCTGGTGATAGTCTTTTTTACCCCTCCCCCTTTT